GCTTCATCTAGGTTTTAGACTACATCTTCATTTTACAGGGCAGACAGCATGTTTTTTTTTTCGGAGCACACAGCAGATTACAGCTGCAGAACACACGCACAGCGGGCACAGCGATACACGCACAGGTCGTTGTTTGTCCAAACCGAGACATTGCATGGTGCCCTCATCTTCGACTGCTGCTGTTGACGCGAGGGGATTTTTGTGTCACACATGACAAACAAACACGGAAACAGTAGAGCAGTAGAATGAGGACAGCAGTATCGTGAGTGTTGGGGGCTCGGGTGCTGCTCTAGAAGGTGTTTGAGAGATGTGGAACACCTCGCCAAACTGCCGTTTGAAAAAATGCGGTGAGATGGCCTGTTTTTGGTCGAAGACAGTCCCACAAATCCACGGCACCACGCAACAGTAGAGCAACATGGGCCTCCGACGCGCCCATTTTTTCGGATTCGTCATGCATATGTTACTGAGCCTCAGCGCCGCCGCCTCTCTAAGATTGTTGAGCACGTCTACCTTTCGACAGGGAGCGGTAGAAAAAGGGGGTCACACGTGGGTCACCACGGGAGAAATGAGCGGAAGTACTTGAGGAAATCGCAGGCAACACCCAGTTTGTGACACTGCTCCCTGCCCCCAGCGCTGACAACAGCAGGCCGGGTGGACTGGGTCTTTGCAAGTGTGCTCTCCTCTATCGGTGCTGATTTTTGTGCTTGTACCACCGCTCTATGGTGAGCATAGCCAATCTGACATGTTGTGTGTCAAGCAAGTCGTGCATTCAGCGATAGGAAACGTTTTCGGCGCCGATTTTTAATTGACCAATCGGGGAATTTTTGTCACCGATTCGTTTTTGTTGGGGTGTCGATAATAGGAATATGCCTCAATAACACGCACTTCCGCCCGTGGACGCACACGTCTGACGACAGTTACATCTATCAGCTGTCGCTCGTTGCAGCGACAGATACTCTATCTTTTCACCCACCACACGGCGGTACAAAAGCACGCACAAGGATATAGAAGTAAAATTACGGAGTGCGGAGATTTCGGCGTGCGGACCGAAAGGGTGCGGCAGTACGTGCCGCAAAGCACTGAAATCGAGCCCTGAGAAAGCGAGCTTGGAGTCTACGAACTGGACGCGCGCCACTGCTTGTCGAGGGGGGGTTACTATATCGTTTGTCGTCGGTGGTGGGCAGGCGAGAACGGATAACAGCCTCTAGCTGTCGACGTGGTAGTTGTTGAAGCACGTCGTCACCTGACGATGGGTGGGTGTACATTGTTATTGCGCAACAGTTTTTTTCGCAACTCACGGCGGCGGCGGCGGCGGCGGTAACACGCTTTGTTTGGGCAAGAATCAGCATTACAGCAAACAACATATCATGTCATATTGCGAAGTGCGGAATGCGGAGAAGAAATGGCCGGCAGTCGTACATACAACTGGGTGGGTGTGTTGGCATGTCGCGGAGCCCTCGTTAGCTGAGAAAATAGTAGTGTGAGTGGGCTGAGAAAGAGAGAGAGAAACAGAGAGAGAGAGAGAGAGAGAGAGAGAGAGAGAGAGAGAGAGAGAGAAGGTAAGAGAGAGAGACAAAGAGAGAGAGAGAGAGAGAAAGAGGGAGAGGAAGAAAGAGAGAGAGGGTCAGAGAGAGATAGACCGATATATATATAGAGAGAGACAAGGGACAGAGAGACAGAGAGAGAGGGAGACAGAGGGGGAGAGAGACAAAGCGCGAGGTAGACAGACAGCGGAGAGCGAGAGACCTCGCCTGACCTCGTACGCACTCTGCTGTGTGTACTGCTCTGTCGGAAAGCACACAGTGTGCATTCAGCTGAGAGAGCGGCGACGGAGCGAGCGTGCGTGTGATTGGGGAAACTGGATAATCGGTAAAACACCGGAAAGACAGGCCGGAATGCTGGAAATAACCTCATACTTTAAATCCAAGTGAAGTATGACGTGAGGAATGGCTGCCTGTGAGAGCCCGAAAATTCGGATTGCTCACCCGTGAGCGGCCCGCTGGAAATGTGGGGCTTGAATGGAGAGCTCCTGGCCGAACACAAAATTGTTTAGGATCTATGCATACATATGCATTTGTAGAGTACATTGCCGAGCGTGGCTAGTCTATTAACCGTAGATAATTTTCAATCTTTCGTTTGATCGTGTCCTGGTTGAGCCAGAAGCGTTTAAACCCAACGTCATCACCTCGCTACAGGAAGAAGGATGCTGGAACGACGTCTACGAACCAGGTGTCGCCTCGTCTGCCTGCCACACACCTACTTACTCTCGTTGGATGTTTTTTTTGCCGCTAGGAGCTAGGAGCAACCAATAACCGTGCTCCATGCCCCGTGCGGTAATTCGCCACCTCGTTTCTGTAATTTCGTGAAATCTCCCTCACAAGCTCTTGCCTGTTCTCTTGATGCCCGTTGTTACAGTAGTTATTCGTTCTGGACAAGTGGTTTTCGCCGCGGGCGGTGCACAATGTACATGAAACTAGTAAAACAATGGTCTTGGTTTCGCTCAGTTGAGCGAGAACGCGCCAGCGAGGCCCTTGTGACACAGTGCCGGCCTGCTCATGCGAGAAACCTGTTTTGAGCGAGGCGCAAAACTTTGTTGTGCAGGTGAAGTGATGTGTTGTCTTCTTTCATCATGTCTGGGTTCTGACCAACAATGACGTATGTTGCCGATGTTTTCATTCCGGCGAAGCAATTTCTCTCATCTCACTGTATTTGAGGTCCTTCCCGGCATGTACAGCACGAGCTTTCTCTACCATTACCGCGTCCTTCTTACTTACACTCATACGCCACATACTCCGTATGCACTCGTTCCACAGTACAGTAGTACTGAAATCTCGAACACAACCCAAAGTCATGATTGATTGAGAAGCAATGCGGATGAAGCCCTAGGTTGGAACGTTCACCGTCCGCTGGTCCATTGGTCCCTACAACCTATATACCCCATCCCGGCTGACCGCTGTTGTGAACAAAGGTCTTGGGGACCCGCGCCCTGATGAGATTCCAGCGTGCCTGTGTGTTCTCGCAACCCTACCCCACCAACACGCCGCTAACGGCGATCGACTCCAGCAACGCCGAAGCATCTACGCTTGCGTTTGCCTCGTCTGCGGTAGGAGCATCTAGAGGCCACTTCACAATGATGGTGCATTGATTGAACGCCGAATTTTGCGCGCGGTAGTCGAAGATAGATGTGGCTAGTTTGCCGGGCCGCTGTCCGGGCTAATCTGCCCCAGGAACATCGCCGAACCACGCCTCGAGAACAACGCTCAATCGGTGCCCGGAATAACGCTGCTAGAGGACACTCCTGAGGACCAAATCCGTTGGGAAGCTGCATCAGAAGAATGCTATCTTCAGGGTCAAGGTCGTCATCAGTAGCAAGCTGCGAGCGTCGGCGTCGGGTGCTGCCGATGAGGATCACGTGGTCTATCGGCGAAAGAGATGCGGGTGTAAACAGCGGATATAAATTAGCGAATTTTCATATAGCAGGCTGCCCGCAGGGTCTCGCTTTGTCACGTTCGGGGGAGTTGGTGACAAATCAACCCACTACAAATTGTCGAACTCACCAACAACGGCGGGGGTAGGTCTCTGGGTCGGATCTTGAGTCACCGTCGGAGCTTGATACCCCACCCCGCCCCTACGGTTGATGCAGTCCTGATACTCCGAGCCGGGCATCTTCTCTTGCTGTGTGTTCCTGTCCATACGTTGGGAGGCCCGACAACATGCTCCGGAGCGATGCGGTCGTCCAGCGGCCCGTCTGCCGTCATTGCTAACCCAGCTTGATGTAGTCGGCATCACCGCTTTGCGACAACCTCTCCAGGTTGCTTATCGATGCGTCTAAGAGCCCCATGTGCCTTCCGATGGCAGTCCAGATGTCGGCATACATGCGAGTCGGGCATGGACCCCACCCTTGTTAACAATTATTTTGAGAACTTGGGGACGGGGGGTACTCCTGGTTGCATGTGCGCTGAACCTGTTTTTGATCTCCCTGGCCAACCCCAGCTCCCTGACCACCCCAGATTCGGCTGTTTGGTGCGTATTAGTTTTCTGCTCCTTTCGTTTTCTGTCCAAACTTCAAGCTCAGGGTGGGTCGTGTCACCAGAGAGTTCCAAATCGAAAATATAAACCGAATTCGGGGTGATTTTTAAATTTCGAATTGCCTCCACTCAAACGCCCGTGGTGATGTATCGAACTCGAAGATGGAAAAAAAACGGAAGACACGAAAAAGGCCTGAAAGTTTCCGTTGCATTGATTCTCACCATGATCATCAGAGCCACAGGGCAGCCCAGACAGCGAGCAATAGTACCGGGTGTCTGTCATGATCAGGCGGGATGGAAAATCGTGGTCTCGCACCGATAGGCTGCGAACTCAGCGAGCAATGCATGGTGGATCGCTCCCGTCTGATGTACATTTCGCGTCGATGACCCTCTCTCTCTCAATTTGGAACAGATCTCGTTCAACGAAAGTATGCTGTGCTCTGCTGGATGCCAGCTTCATGCCTACGTAATGCTCTCATCGCAAGCGGTCTGTAGGCTAGATGAGTAGCGAAATGAATGCATCTCGGATATCCAGAGAGTTTGGCAAGTAAGCGTGATGTTCCCGTTCGCGCGTTCGATTTTAGATTTCGATATTTTCGGTTTTTCGTTTTGATTTTCGATATGGATTACTTTCGAAACACAAACCATCCCACCATATCGAAAATTCCGCCGCGGAACAAGGGTCATTTCTCCAATGAGAGGCATTTTCGATTTTCGATGGAACACACTTGATAGTGACAAGAGCCACCAACGGTATTTTGTTCCTTTTTTCTTTTTTTAATGCTGAAGTTGTGAGTGCCTTCACTCTCGTCGTGCCTCACTTAGCCATTCCACTTAGGACAATCAGTTAATGATTTTTGTGATTGTTGTCAACACTGCTCGTTTCCATTCTCCTCCACTCCCGCTGACCTTTCTCCATCCCTCTCTCCCTGTCTTGGTCATTCACATCAATGTTCAAGCGGTGCTGGTGGGATGTGGCATGAGGATGAGGTCGTCTTGCCCCAGATTAGCGCACAGAATACCTCTGGCGAGGGTGACGCCGTCCCTCCCCTCCAGGAGCAAGGCCGTCGCCAGAGCATAAATCACGAGGTAGAGGTTGCAAAGGCAATTATTCTCAGAGAGGAATACATTTTGCGGGTCAAGGCAAACCTGGACAATCATCAGTCGAAGTTCGGCAAGGACCAAGAAGCTTTCGATGGTCTTATCAGCCTTGTAGATCTACTACGGACTGCAACCGTCGACACAGTGGAAGCAATTGAGCAATGGAGAAGGATCCAAGGAAATCCCGCAGCACCTTTCATCTGGAAGAGTGTTAACTACCTCCTCAAGATCGGGAGCGACCTCGACTTCCTAGATTCTCATGCGGTGAGCTACGCTGTTGTGTAAGTATAGCATTCTGGAATCTCTGCTCGGGACCTGTTGAACAAGCTTGTACGATTTTTTTTCTACTATTCTATAATGTATGTGAACCAATCCCCACCCGGAGCATTGTGCCTGTCGCCTTGCTTGTCTCATTACCTGCTTCATAGCGCTACTACTACAACCGTGGTCCTTAGCCCTTTACACTGCCTATAAGCATTTACTTGCTTCAAGTACGATGGCAAACTCACGTTCAACGGATGCACGAAGTACGAGTATGCGATTGCTTCAACACTTTTAGCGCATGCCGTAGCTGTGGCTATACTATCTAACGCCAGTTCCCATTATGCCCAGCCGTTGCGCATGTGGCTGAGGGTCAGCTTGAGGCGGAACCCGTTTCTTGTTCCCATACCTACGGAAAAGCTTGCTCTGGGAGGCGTCTTGGCATCCCGACCTGGGCACCACGCCTTCTCGGAGGACAAACAAGGTTTTTTTTCGGTGGGCGGATCATATCCTCGTGCGACTACCAGGGATATGCACGAGTGGGATCCAGCACCCAGCAATTTGCGTGTAGGTGGGAGCGCGATAGCTGATGGTGATATGATGCGGATTAGAGGGGCGGCTGCCGTGATTGCGCAAGAAGAGGTCTTGCATGGCAGGTAATCGCTCCTAGGAACGTGTTGAGTGGCCAGCGTGCGCCACTTCACACCTTGCGAAAGTTCTCTACCATGCCCTCTAGTACTGGGCGTATACAAACTCGTTCCAAACGTTTTTGCATGAAAGGTGTTCATATTGTTTCCGTTTCCATACGAAGTAAAATGTCGTCGCTCGCGTTTCGACAGCTGCACAGAGGGCAAAGGTAGGCGCCAACACAGAGATACAGGATGTACCTGATGATGGCACACCAACTAAGCACAGGTGCAAAAGTGTCTGTTCCACGTATCAAGTGTGCTTGTTTGCAGAATGGACTTGAAAAAGGAACACGTTGCACGCTGTTTTATCGTCCATTAGATGGGAAAGCAAGAGTAAAGAAGAGGGACACTCGAGCCACGCGTAAGATAGCGAGTCACAAGCTTTGTCTGGAGTTTGTTGAAACAACCATGAGGAAGACGGGTATATATGTATGTTAAACGAAGCGCGCTGGGGGAGTCAACGCAGACAAGTACCCGAGCAATAGAACACCCGACGCAATAGTCTACGCGAGCCCCGTGTAGCGGATGCATATGCGTCCACTATGTTGACATTGAGGAAACCCGCACAAAACTGTTATTTTACTTTTATTTCCGATAAAAATTGTGGACTTTTAACCACCTTGACTTCAAATTGTACCACGGAATTCTGGACGAACTGCATCAAAGTGTAGCCACGAGGCGGAGCCGACTTTGTTGGCTGAACTGTGCCTCTTGTTTGGCCGCGTTTGACCTGGGCTACTGCGAATATACTTGAGATCGCTTCCAGCAAATGAGACCCAGCGGAAAGGCACATGCTTCCCTTGGAAATCGAACTAGTCAACAGCGCGCGCTCGCTGCTCGACATCTGTTGGTGCTTTCCTCACGCGCTACACTACTCACCTTCATTTTCCGTGATTGTCGCTTTTGCCGTCAGGTACACTGTGGACAGCTCTGCCCGATTGGTTCCTGTAGGCACCGCTGAGAAGTGCAAGTTTTCTCGCCAGCTAGTGCTGGATGACAAAAAAGGAATGCATCTCCCGGCCAGCGTTTCAGCCCCTTTCATAGCCCTTGCTGGTGTAGGTCAAGTACCTGAGGAGAACTCATCCTATAACTTTGGTGGTTTGACTTCAGACATCAGCGACCGACTGGCCAAGCCAAGTTCTATCCCTTCCGCTTCCGGCAAGGCCAGTGCGAAACGGGCGGGTGGAAAGCTTCGTCCAGTCACCGTCCACTCAGCACCTCCACGGAAAAGGCCACCTGTCATCCGAAGGTGCGAGAGTCGGTGGCAACGCTTAGGTCTGTCGAAGGAAGGTACAGTAAGTTTCTTTCAGGGAACAAACTGAAAATGTTGAGCGACAAGAAAGTGTTCTTCCAGTATGTGATGTGGGTTGGGTTTCCGGGCAGGTATCTCTCACAGGCGCTTCATTTGACTGGCTTCGTAGAAAGGCGTTGGTGGGCACGTGTTGCCTGGGTCCAAGTGCTAGAGTGTAAGGATGGGAACGCACTTGAGAATAACACAGAACATGGGGTAGCCAGGGGTGACCTGGGCGAGCAGTACCAAAATATGCCCGCCTACCCGCCTCTTCATTTCCAGGGCTATTGCGCCCTTCGTCCAGGTGCTTCTCAGAGTACCTTCACGAGCTGAAACTGTAGTCAATGGCAAGTCTGAAGAGGGCTAGGTGGATTCCAGCTTACAGTCCATTGTAATGTTCAACCTCGAGTGGTGTTTTTTGTCATACCACAATTTTCTACAACAGTAGACTATTGTCTCTCTCCGTGTGCCACCTTGATAGAGTCGGGGCCACGCAGAAGGCCTCTTCTTTGGGGGACGATATTTTTCGGCGTGTAAGTTATACCACAGAAGCGATTGCACCCTGGGCTTTGTGTCATGTTGACCAGCACCGCCTACACAGACTTAATAAAAATAGCAAACGTGATGTAAAGGATGGCAAAAATACTCTACCTTTTTTATCTGTCTTCGGAGTGTGCAATCAAGAAGCTGATAGGTCTTACTTTTCGTGAAGAAAGGCCCCAAGCTTACATCAGTGGCAGTTGAATGTCTGCGTACACGCACACACGCTTGTCTAGATTTGTTCCTCTTCACCATGCCGTTGCCTGCTTGCAGGTCTGTAGGCGCACTACTCCGCGCCGAGATGATGCACAGAAAACAACAAAATAAACAGTTGCAACAGGAGTTGGAAGATCTTCGACACCATCTGTCGGAGAAGTCTCGGACCCAATCGAGAAGCTCCGAAGTATCACAAGACCAAAACCCGTGCCATGGATTGGTCGGATACACATCAGCAGAAAGAGGGTACACATGTGGAGTTTTGGGGCAGGGTTCTCCAGCGGAAGTTGGCGAGGCCGCGTTGAAAATTCAACGGAAGTGTGACGAAGTTGAACGGAAGACACGCCGACAGGTAGCCTTACAAGAGCAATATGTAGTGTTTCAAACCAACGAGAGGACGTCACAAAACAAGAAGCGAGCACAAGTACTCGAACGGAAGAGGAGATTGCTTGAACAAGATCCCGATCTTCTTGAGCCATCCGAAGATGATGAGTACACTTTAGAAGATGGAGCAGCTACCCAAGTCCAACGCATTACGCGTGGTGTCCAAGGTCGTACACGCGTGAGAAAACTCCGCCCCGTTCTCAACTACGCTGCCACCAAGATCCAGGGCATCATACGTGGCCGCCTTGGCCGGTCGCGAGTTGGGCTTAAGATAGTCGACAAGCGAGCTGTTACTAATATTCAGCGTGTATGGCGCGGTCACCTCGGTCGCTTTGCTTCTATCTCCGACCGCCGGAAGCTGGAGAGAACGATGGCTGCGCGGTCCATTCAGAAGATAGCTAGAGGGCGTAGCGGCCGGCGACGAGTTGACCACAAACGAGGTCTGCGGCAGAGTGCCAGCAGAGGATCAGAAGTGGTGGGGGTTAAACAGCTATTTCACCAAGACATCGTCGAGCTTGCCGACGCAGTGGAGTCGCTCCTTGTGAAGGACAGTGCAGCTGCATTCCCTGGCATCGTCCTCGGGCTTTTGAAAGTGGTCGCGCTAATGCTCGAGGAGGACGCCGAATCGGGAGCAACAACCCGGTACAATGCGTTAGGCGTGAAATCAGTGAATAATTTGCGCCCAGCAGTACAGTTTTCATGGCGTGACGCACTCGTTCTTCTCCGCAGGTCCTGCAAGCTCCTTCGTCGCTTACGCCAAATAGCAGAGGGGCCTTCAAATAGACGACCACGAATGGTGTACTTTTCTCAGGCGGCAGTGCAGGTGTACGCTGCCCTTCGATGCGATCAGGGGTGGAACGTATCGAAGATAGGTCTCGTTGGCCGTGGGGCCAAAGCCTGCCAGCATCTTATGATGTGGGTCGATGCACTGCAGGAGGTGTTCGCGTATCAAAGGGAGTTTCCTGATGAAATTGGCAGCGACCGCATGCCCTGGGTGGCACGTGCTCAACAAAGTGTACGTGGTATGCGCCATCTGGAGCTCTCGCGCATGGTATGGGAACACGCTATCACGTGCGTGCAGCAGGTTCTCCTTGAATCGGGTGAGACGGCGCCAAAACCAAAGGCTATCTCCTCGAGGATGAGGGGAAACCTCCGCCTACGCGTGGCGGAGCGTGCTTTGAAAACGCTTAAGTCGCACGAAGAATGCGCAAGAGATGCCCTTTCCAAGACGAGACAAGAAGAAGAGGATGCCCAGAGAAACGACAAGGCTCGTGAGCAACTAAGGGAGGACACGCTTGTCGATGACCTCAATCGTACTGAAAAGAGTTTGGCAGAAAGCCTGATCCGACTTGAAGAAGCAAAAACAGCAGCTCGAGATGGGATCGAAACTGACCAGGTTCACCTACAGCTTTGTCTTGATGAGCTAACCACATGTGAGGTGGTTCGTCGAGAGCGTTGGGCTTCCGTGGAGATGTTCCGAACACAGAGAAGGCGTAACTCCAAACGCAGAGGTGTAGATGTGGAGGTGTGGGGAGATCTCCGACATCAAGTGCGTGTGGTGGGCGAGTTAGAGGCCGCGTCTACTTTGGCCAGTGAAGATCTGAGCGAATACGACCCGGACAGAGGGGCTACATCCGCAGGTTCTCGCAATCACGATCTGGAGTTGCTCCAGGCAAGGACGAAAGAGGCACAGTCGGCGGCGGCCACAGCACGAACACGACTAGGTTGTATGGCAGAGGAGCAAGAAAACGCCAACGCGCTCGCCAACGAAGCCGAGGTGAGTGATGAGCGTGAGTGCCTGAGTATCCTCATCACAAGAAGTTTTCCATTAAATGAAGTGCACACCTACACGGAAGTTGTCTCATAGCAGAATTGCTCCAATCGCCTGTTTGCAGCTTCAGAAGGAGGAGACGGTCCTGCCTCACGAGTGGGACGACCCATCTGAAGAAGAGCGGGAGGAAGATCTTCGAGAAGACGAGCAATGCGCGAGATACGAAGCACAGGCAGCAACCCAGTTTGTACCACCCGCGACGATTGTTCGACCCTTCCAACGTCCACGCCCCATAGTCATCTGCTTGAGTCGAGACTTGCCGGGATCAGCGAAAACGAAACTCGTACAACAACTTGAAAGCGATCTTCCAGGTTTAACAGTCCACATGGATGAGGAAAGGAACATGGGTCTTCATGTTGGTGACCTACAGCGAGCTCTGTCGATCAGGTGGGGATGCCCTGTGCGTGATTATGACGTTAGTGTCTCTATCATCCGTGAAATTCCAACGGCGCGATTGCTACGCCGATCTCACACTGCCCACGTACTACTGTAGTTCGGCACATGGCACACCTGCTACATAGTATAATTCGACCTTTGATGTGCCACTGCTTCGGTCTCGTCATGATGGTGCAGTGCATGCATCACGTCACGCCTGACATGAAGCTTCGTTCCCACTGTGGCACCAGGTGTAGCGTAGTGTGCAACGTGGACATGGGTATCGGTAAACGATGCAGGAGAGCGTTTCTGCACAAGTTGGCTATCGCCAAAGACGCGCTCATCCCGGCGCCAAAATTCGTTTTGGTGGTTGGCGATAGCAAAAATCGTGCCGGAGGACCGCTCGACGGCTCCGTTGGGTGCAACGACCGTGACTTGTCTGTGATGGGAGATGGAGAAATGAAAAGGAGGCTCGAAATCGTAGCTCGTATAATCAAAGAATTCCAGGATTCCACCTTCATGGAGGCCATGGCGAAAATGGGACAGGCCGTCACCCCACCGTCGCAGTCCCACATGCTTGTGATGGAGGCGTTGATAATTCTGCTTTCTCCAGAAACAGTGTTTCACAACCATATCCCTTTGTCATCTCTGAGGGGAGTAACGTGGACGGAGGCTCGGCACATCTTAGGGAACCCTGACAAGCTGTGCGCTGCGATTGCACGGGTAGATTCTTTCAGTATCCCTCCGGCGAACCTTTCTACGCTGCAGGTGAGAAAGGGAGCTGCTGCTGGCTTTTCATTGATGTTCACCGAGTGACAAGCATGGCCAGCAAGAATCACCGTTGGAGACCCGTGTTGCTCTATGTAGCGTGTCTTTCAACTCTTGCGTGAGTGCGATATCCGCCATGCTGGTCGTCCTGGAAACGTTTATTACCACTGTCAGGCATACATTGGACATGACGGATGGCCTCGCAAAGCTTGCGCACCAGGCAGTGATGGCGGTGTCCTAGACGTCCTGGCGGCCTGGTCGTGCTCAACAATAGAGTTTGCTGCCCTCCTCACCAACGCCGGAGGACGTCCAAAGGCTCTATGCCACTATTCTACAGCCCCTGTTGGCTTGTTGGCAGCCGTGGTGCCGATGTATGACGCGAATATCTGCACCCAGCGGGACCGCAACGTCCATTTCAAACGAGGGTGAGATCTGGAACTTGTCCTCCTCGCAATGGTTTGTTTTGCGACGCACGCACATACGGTGTACTCTTTGTAGGCACCGATAATTCTGTATGCTTCTGGAGTTGGAAACGCCGGCCGCATCACAAGAGCGTGACTGCACGGCATGTGTGTCAAATGTCGTGGCGGCTGGCAGGTGGAGGGCCGCCTATTACCAGACTGTGACTGCTGTCCTGGAGGATGTGCGGGTTTTCCGAGTGGCCAGGCGTATTCGAGGTTCTTCTCGTGCGGGTGTTCACGTCATCGAGGTAGGCAATGGCTCGTGATCACGTTTCTTTGCAGATTCTGATGGCATCCTGGGGCAGGCTGGCTAGCCGCCAAACGTGTTGGGTCATATCCTCCTCTGGTGAAAAACACCTTCTAGGGACACATCCAAGATTCTGACCGAGTACCTTTCCCTGCTTTCTTGCACGCACACCAGATCTACCAGGAATGCGGGCGGCTGTTTTTCCACACCTACGATCCAGAATCCTGTGTCAGCAACTTTTGCGTCATTGAGGAGAGCAAGGTACGCGTGGAACGTATGTGCACGTAGGCTCGTGGTTTCCTTTCGTGGTTGTCTTCACAATGAAATCATTCTCCCCCCTCCCTACTTTTGTCTGTCTTCTTTGGGTACCCTGCAAAATATAGGACAAACATAGGAGACAAGACTTCGTCGTCACAGGTTGATCCGTCACAGGTTGATCCGGGTGTAAGATACAGAGGTACAAGGTGATAGACCTAGGAAAAGTGTTCCGAAACTAGCTCGCAATTAAGAAGCAGATATCTGACGAATCCTAAACAGAGTAAGGTAGCGCAGTATGCCCAAACGGGACCTAAGGCGTTAAAATGCTCATGCTGAACTTCAAAAGCTATTGTTACGCCGCTGCGAATACGGTGAATTATCAATCGAAGTGTTTTTCTTGTCCATCACGCATACATTCTTTCGGTAGAGCGAAGCGAGGCATTCTCGCACGAATTGCCTGATGCTGGATGTTATTCGATCACGTGTTCCTCATCCTTGTGTCGCAGGTTAGCCATCTTCTGGCCCCTGCCTTGGATCAACCACCCGAGTTCGGACCGAGCACCGTGCCTTGCGATCGGCAAGACATGTTTACGCGCCTCGCAACCCTTCTCAGCTTCGAGGCCGCTCCGTTAAATACGGTCAGTTACGTAACCTAACGACAGTATCTAGCAATATGATCTACACGTTAATTTTGAGTGGAGAAAAATATGTGAACTACATGACGGCATCACCAGCAAATACGACTTCCACGACTTTTGTTACAGCCGTCGAGTAATCTTATTGCGGTGTTGGCGAATGACCAAACACGACAAGCAGGTGTGTTGGGGTGTGCCGCACTTGGTGTGTCAGCGGCGCCTCCGATGTCTTCTTCGCGATACTCGATTGATATCTGGATATCGTGCCCAAGTTACCGTGTACGAGGAGGCGAAAGGCGAGCTTCGGTATTGCCTCTATCTTGCAGACCATGCGGCAAGGATCCAGCTCAAAGTGGACGCAAGGTTACTAGAGAAGGTGCTTCAAGACAGCAGCGACGTGACAGGAGAGCGGCAAGCGATCACGAGCGAAGACACTGGTCGCCTTCTTGTTCCGGTTACTGATCGACTCGTCATATCGCCGTCACGAGCAGCTGTTGTCACCATGGGTGCAGGATGTGGTGGCAAGAAGATGACATCGTCCAGTCAAGGTTTCGTCCTTAAAATCCGCTGCAAGGTGCGTGCCGAATAGAATATGATACGCATATGATGATGTAGCACGAACAAGCAATCGCTGACCAGGTATGCCTTGCGACCGATCTGCTACATTGTTTCCTTGCGGTCAAGGGTGGGCCCGGTAGGCGCGTGCTTCGGGCCGTCTGCGTCATATCTGGAGCTCCTCATGTCGTGTCCGTGTGGGAGCTAGGCAGGGGGGGGGGGCTACGTTTGACTGCTTACGATCCAGCGACGAGCATGACGTATGGAATCGGGATTTCAAAGGCTGAACGAGCTTTTTTTGGTTGCAACGGCGACGATCGTAAGTATTGGATCAAGCACCTATGCCCGCGTTTAAGCTTGCGGAGAACAACGGAGACCACCATCATGGAGGGTGCGGAGGCACCGGGAGAGCCACTTCCAGCCAGACGAACAATGCTCCTGGACAAGACAATTTTTTCAACTGCCTGTCGGGTAGCTGCGGGACGGATTGACGCCCGCCTCTTCCGAATGCGGGCAGAACTGGCAGATGCTGGGCAATCTCTCGCACTCGATTTGTATCAAGCTGACACCTCGAAACAGTGCCGCATTCTACTCACTGAAGAGGACCTTGCAGCGCTGGGTCTTGAGCCATGCACGGCCTGCCCGAACGGCTCTCAGACGGATGACTCTAGGACTAGGGCTACCTCCACTACTCGATGTTCTGGACAAAGTGGTGCGATGACCGGCATGCTAATTGGACCTGGAAGCAGAGAAGCCGCTGTGCGTCAGCTCACGCGCCATCTGTGTTTCGCTCCAGACTCCAATAGCGTTATTCTTTCTATCGATGGGGACTCGAGAATCAGTGCAATGGAGTATTCGATCATCGCGCAACAACGACGCCCTCAGAGTACCATGGCGATCGCTTTCTCACAAGCCAGGACAGGATCGTACGCCGTCGGGCGTTGCGGTTTTGTCGCGGGGTTTCTCAAGCAGCGTCATCAGCCGTGCGTTCTACTACATGGACGTTTGTCTCCTCGCATGCGGCAAACCGGCAAGAACCGGATAGTTGACTCCACCCCCAGGTGTGATGTCGGAGCCAGTTGTTACATCAGCGGTTGAGTGACATGGTTTTGTCGCAGGTGTTGCTTGTGCTGTGTTTGAATTACTTCGCCACTTGTCAGGGTCGTGGATGTTCACCGCGTCTGCAAATGACAGTGCACCCTAATGACCGAAAGCAAGCGGGGAAAGAGCAGGATGTGGGAAAACAGTCAAACGCTGTGCATAGCGTTGATCATAGGACAATGTTTGGTTGTCGAAGGCAGATGTCGGCTTCAGATTGCGAAAAAGGAAGCCAACTAACGGTTCATGACTAAAACGCATGAACATCTCGCGTTGTTGATGACAGCATTCTCATCTTACGGTTACGATTGCATTGCAGGGAATCACCAAAACGTAAGAAAGGAAAGCGAAAACGAGACAAATTCCAGAAGCCTGTAAATGAAGGCGGGAGCCCGAGCGCAGGTCTCTCCGAGCTCAGAGACGGAATCATGTTATCTGACAGCATCACCGCCGCGGCAACGGGGGCACGACTGTCACACAAGGCCTGTACCCAGGGAGCGAGTCAATGTACCCAGTGTCCAACCTTGTGTTTGGCATATTTAGAAGCGCTCGTATTTCGACACTTTCATTTGCGTGACCTGATAAGTACCTCCAGTATGTAAAGCTTGTAACTTGCGCCGTGGCGTCCGAACAGATCCATGACCTACCAACATGCGCATGGTGTCATCACTTTGATATTCACCGCAGGATGAGCCTCAGGTGGATCCTATTCGTTCTGTCAGTGGTGGGACTGCACCTATATGCTTGGCGCGAAGTGGCGAACGCAACATCTTTCACGGAGCAATTTCGATACGAAAAAATGACTGGGAAGAGCATCAACCAGTGTGTGATACGGTGGTGACCGTCTTCTCATCTTCTGCTGTCGACGATGAATCGTGCCTGCGTGCGGCGGTGTACTACTCGAAACTTGGGGCGTATGCGGAAGTATCGATCAAAGGTTTCGAAGATCTTCGCCAGGTATCGTAGAGTGTGCAAACAACGCAGATTTGGTTGGACGTTCTGCTTCGTCCTTGAATACTTCAATAAGATATTTTGGAATAGGAATGGCGCTTGGAAGTTCGTGACAATATTCTACATTCTTATCCTTGAAAGGTGTTGGGTGAGCATACATTTGAACATCGGGGATTGGCCAATACCATGGCCTCGTGAGGATGCCCGTGAACTTCAAGGGTTTCTCAGCAAACTTTTGCTTTGTTGGTCGACCGACTCCTCGCTTTCGACACGAAATGCGTTTTGATAGCGTCGTAAGAACTGGTCGGGTTCAGGCCGGCATTTTTGTCGGAAAATGTCAGATTTCGTGCTGGTGCGCTCGAACTGGCGTCCCAGTACCCAATACCGGTACAAAAATTTTATTTTAGTCCATTGAGAAAACCCACGTGCCGTGCAGATGCATTGTGTTTCCTTCTGACCAGGCGTGGTGCCAAAAGTCTTGATACCTAACAAGGTTGCTCCAGTGCCCCCTGGTATTGAGTTACTCACCTGTAGCGGAGGAACCGCCGACAACGTTCTCTCTCAACTATTGTGTAGGTTCCACACCTACCTCCACCTTGTGTCTGTTTTGTTAACAGTAGTTTTTTTTCCAGTGTCCCCGTCTAACTGATTGAAGCTTTCATTGCGCCAAATGATTTGGCATATGCATACACAAAAGAGGGTTTGAGTGTGTGAAGATGTAGCAACTTGTGCCGGTCCAGGGGAAGGGATTCCTTGCTTGCCTTAGGGGCGCCAAACCAAGAAAACCGCCAGGTTTCCAATTTGCCACAACGCCTTACCACAAGCATGATCCGCTTGTTGTACGTAGGTTGTTGGAGCGCTGAACCAATCGCTCGCACACGAGTGGAGGCGTCAACCAGAGGGCGACGGAACGGCTGAAGCTCTGTTTAATTTCATATTTCACGAACGCGCCATGATCGTGGTCGGGAAATGGAATGGTGACTGCGATGGGTATGTTGAGAATGGCAGGGACTTCACGGTAGTACTGAAGCGAAGCAGACTGTACAATTCCTTCAAGCAAACACCCGTCCACCTTTCCGGGGAGAAAGATGCTCAGGCCAACGCCAATCGGCTCATCGATGGCGCCGACCGACGTGGAAAAAAGGTCAGAGATCGCACACGATGCGCATGGCGGTTTATCACGAAGTTTTGGTTTGAACAGGTTTACGCAAGCCATAGCAACTAAATATTCTCTCTCGTCTTGTTCCCCGAGAGACTGGTGTTTGAACACCGTCTTTACTCCGTGTAGGCAAGAGCTTCTTCCGCATTGGTTCTTTGAATATTTGTTGTTTGTACAGTAAAGCACGCAACAGGCGTACGATTCTTTATCATACGAACGTGGAGGTTACAATGCGCCCGTTGCCTTGGCGCTGGATATCCATCCATACAACGAGAGGGGGAAGATCGCTCTTCCCTATGATGTGTGTACTGATCAATTACCCAGCCCGACGGTGAACCACAACGTAGACCAATGTATTTAATGTGATTGTCGTCGCCCACAACAACGATCGTACACTTTGTTGGCCACAGAACGAAATTCTCACCCGCCTCAAAGACGCACCCGTTTAGTTTACACCATTGGCCTGCCTCATCCAGACGTCTATTCTTGTCTGCCCAATGACGACAGGTGTTCCGCTGTGCTGTAAACATCAGCAGCACACTGTTCCAGATGACGGGATACGAATTACCCCCAGAAAAAAGTGCTGATGCAACACCATCTCTCCGATTTATCGCGTATGACCCCAAGACACAGCTTCAGGTGATGCTAGCAAGGGTTGGTGCGGTGTAAGTCAGCTCGAAACTTGTGCTGGATGAAGTAGTGGCAGCATAGTGCGCTTTACGTGAATGGTGATATTTATGGTTTCCCACTCTGTGAACCGCGCTTGGGTTGCAGCTTGTTGCTGTGGCACAGCCTGATGCCGTTCTTGAGCTCGGTGGCGGACAGCATTCACCCTGGATGGCCAGAGATAAACGCGAGGTTTTGGCCGGCATCATCGCACGGGCCCTCCGCCTCAAGGTGAGCACTTACAAAAGTTGTTAGACCTCACTCTACTGCCTCCATCCGTGCCTTCCGGCGACCCGTGTAGGCAGATAGATGGTGCTCGTGAGCCATAATGTTACACGTATGACCATATCAAAGTACATGATGAGGAAAATGCCGACAATGTGTTCGTCTGGATGGATAATAGCAAGTGTGATGATACACAACGATGCAACGAACTCGGCCGGTGAAAACTTGCTTGTTTACCTATCCTTGCAGGTCGCCCACGACGGTTCTCCAACCCTCGTGGTGCCATGGTCCGGTGAGAACCTGGCGATTGTGGATGAGGTTCAACCTGGAGAAACGACCAGACCTCGAAGGGATAAGGTTCTGAAGTTCGCGAAGCGGAAGGGCCTTTCAAAGCTGGAAGTGTTTTCCACTCGGGTAACGGATTTCGAGGTGGGAATGTGTGTTGACACCCTTGTTCATGTCCGCAATGCGTGTTGTTTGCATCAAAAGGCAGCCAGCCTTTCGGTGTATTCATATTAGTTAACCCATACTACACGCACAGCTCGAAGAGGACGTTGTTTATGGAACGGAGAGCCATATGCCCTCAGCTGATCCCCCAGGTGCGGCCTCCCTACGATGTGAGGGGGGAGGCCGAGCCACCAAACCCCTTATATTATTAGACCCCGATTTATGGGAACAAAATCTTGTCGATAAATCTTGATCTTGGCCAAGATCTGCCAGTTTCACGATTTATGGGAGCGAAATCTTCCGATATATCTTGGCCAAGATTTCTCGAGGCCCGAAATCTTCCCTTTCGAACAAATCTTGACCCAAGATCTGTCGAAACGAGCCTTCCGCCTTCCGACAAATCTTGAGGCGGCGTAACAAATCTTGCCTCAGTGCGGCGCGATCACCGAAGGTCAGTCAACCTAATCGTCCATAACGCCATGAAATCTGCACGTGGCACACTCGCAAGGGTCTCTAACGCACCCTGGCGTCACTATGTCGGCGCCACGGGCGCCGACAGCGAACGAAAACAACCAAGGCGCGCGAAAAAAATGCGTATTTTTGCCCTGGCTCGTTCCACGTGCGTCATCACCAGTCTGTGGAGGGACCGTTCAAAGAGTATTTTATTTTGAAGTAGAAAAATAGAGGAGGAGGAACGTGTTGCCAACACTGCTCTGTCGTGTGCGACGCTTCTATCTCTTCATCGAATCACCCCACACCCGACCCGTTTGCACCCGAGCCAATCCGTGAGTGCAGATGACAGCGCCGGAGGTTTGACCTCGGTACGCCTGCTACATCGTGAGATACGTGCATGGGTGTCATCGGCTTCGGGTCGATGCACTTTCTTGTCAGTTGGACAGCAATGGAACAGTTTTGTTTCTCCGCTTGACATGAGCTCGTGGGCAACGAATTCAATTTTGCACCCCAGGTAGGCGCCCATCGCTAGTATCCACCCACAGTGTTGAGGCAATACAGCTGGGGGAGGGATGCCCCTTCTACAACTGCGTCATGCTCACTTTTCGCCACACCTTGGCATTTTCTGTGGACCAAGTGGCCGTTGTGCCTTTTTCAACTTCAAGCAGAAGAGAGGAACAACACGCCGCTTTTTCAACATTCAAGATATTTCCCCCATAAATCGCGATACTGCAAATCTTCGCGGAGATATATTGTGAGCAAATTTTGGGTCAAAATGCCAAGATATAATTGCAAGATTATGTTTCCATAAAGAAGGGTCTTAGGCCAGTTGGAGTGGAAATTTTTCCAAGATGGGAATCCGGGGGATCGGCAGATAATGCTCCACCACCCCATAAAAGTAGGAGGTCTGCGTACTGGGCAGCAAGCAGAGAGCACCAAAGCGCTTTGTCAGTTCGTCCTCGCCTCACAGAGCCCTGTTTGCCATCTAACCGATAAGGCTGTACACCCACTCCACTACTGTGAGCTTCTCGGAGCCAAGTTTGGGCAGCTAGAGTGCAGTGTGCGTAGTGTGCGATGATATGAAAGCAAATTCACGATTCCCAATTTGGAATTCCAACCAATTACAGTTGGGAATTCATGAGGAATTCCCACCAGGATCGTCCAGCAATTCAAATTGGAATTCCTATTTTACCAAGCATGGTGAACACACACTGCACCGCAGCTCCCCAAACTTGGCTCGAAGAGGCTCACAGCAATGCTCTACGCGGTCTCGAAGGTTTGAATGCAAACGGGTCTCTGTGAGGCGAGTACTGAGTGCCAAAGCGCTTTTGTGAGCTTTTCCGACGAAGTACGCAGATCTGTTGCGGCCTCATGGGGGTTTGGATGTAAAAGGCGTAATATCGGGATTCTTTCCATAACAACTGGCTTATTAGACAGGGTAAATAAAGAGGGGTCAATAGAGGCCCTCAAGATGTGACAAGAACCAGCGGGGGTTCAAGGAATGAAATACTGGAAGCACGGCAAACTGGATGGTGGTAGAATACCGTGGTTGTAGGGTGCTTGCAAACGATATATTTATACAAGGTTCCCCTGCGGGAGGTAGGTGATTTGCCTCCCGGGGGCGACGCAAGACATGGCCAATCAATGCCATCGCGATCGCATGGTTGGTCGTCATAACGTCCAGAAGTGCCGACTTGCGTGCAACCTGCATTCTAATAATTTGGCTGGAAGTCGCATCATATGTGCGGGGTATTTTTTTTTCTCCCGCCGTGACTTTCCCTTGTGCGCGAGTGAGTGGTTTTGGCTAGCGGTTTGCTGCAGGTCCTACTGCTGTAATCCGCTGCGTTTGATCACTTTCTCTTCTGGTGTGATCGTGTTTCCCATGGTCTGTGGGACGTTTCACGCATACATCAACAACAACGGATCAAAGAGACGCTGAACGTGCCCAAGAACAGTCACAGATAGATGTAGACTGCTACCGCACCAAATTTCTATGTTTGACTTTTTCGATTTTTCGGAATTGAAATGCAAATCGAAGTACAAATTTGCTACTGCCAGAGGTGTGGGAGAGGAATATTCTGTGTCGCGTGGTGTGTTCCCGAGGGCATCAAGAGTCTTGATCCCCGCTGTGGGTACGCATGCGCCAGTTGCCGTGTGGTGGTTGTGTGCACAACAATCACAGCAGCAGGTGTGTGGGCGCGTGGGCGCGTGGCGCGTGGGCGCGTGGCGTGTGGCGCGTGGCGCGTGGCGCGGGGTAAAAAAAAGTTCTGTTTTCAGCTTTCGTGCCGTTTGAGAAGGCTTTCTTGGTTCGGATTCCCAACCCCTGAAAAAAGAGCCAGTCCCAGCGACTTTAGGCGGCCCTAACGCGCACAACTGGTGTCTCGCGAGCCTCACACGTAACGGGTAATGTACCGACGGGTCCTCTCCGTGCCATGCAGAAGAAAGTGTGAGAAAAAGCGCTGTCCCAGCGGAGAGAAGCGACTGCGAAGAGTAACAAAGTTGTAATCCTACATATGCATATTTCGTATGGTCACGAATGAAATCCTGTTCAGCTCTTGCTAGACGGGTTTTATTTTGCAATACTGATTAAAGTCTATACAATATTCTAAGTCGTTAGTTTAAGAGTAATAGAATAATAAACCCTTGACCAAACTGGATGTAGCACCCAATAAAAACGGGTGGGTGGGTGGGGGGGTGGTGGCAGTGTTGTCAGCCCTGCATTTCGTGAGCCCCCTTGAGCCCAGGTCCACATGTTGAATCACCTGTTCCTCGCAGACCTTGTTTGTCATAGGGTGTTACTTCTATCTTTTCGTTTCTGCATCGGAAACATATTCAAATTGCATGCATGCCCACCTGACAGGTGATTATCACAGTATTCGGGAAGACTGATGCACCCTCATCCGTCCCAGCGGTGACGGCCGATGATGATGATGCCGAAGACGATGAGCGACCGTCGCTAACCTTCAACTTGTACTGCCCTAAGCTGACCGAGAGCGTCGACATCGATCTGCCTTACGCGATGCAGAAAATGATGACTGGTATGTGCTTCTTTTCTTTGTGTGTTTCCATGTTTGCCAACCATGCGTTCCAAATCTAGGCTTTCTGTGCGACCACATTGTTGGGTGCGCTCGTGTATCATGCACGGGAGAATCTGGTAAAGATGGTGTGACTCAGTGTTCCAGGTGGGACATAAGCCTGTAAATAGTCTGTTCGCTTCCAGAGAAAAACATTGCAAAGCGATTGCGCTTCTCATAATCCAATTGATAAAGGATGTCCCGCACTTGTGGAATGTATGTGTGGTTGGCGATTTAACAAGAGACTTCACCTCTCCCTGAATCCCGTGCTCTTGAAGGTCGGAGTATATTCCAAATCCCCAAAGGTGAAGCTCGATCCTCGGCGATAAGGCGAACTGCACGATTTCTATGCGTATCGCTACCACCTTCATCAAAAGGCTTACAAGCAGAGGTACGTGATGGTAGATCACTGCTCCTTTGCGTTTCAGTCACTCCCCGACCATTGCCCGCAGATCTCAGTTTGAGCAGGACAAAGTTGTTAGTGCGAGCGGTGTTCGACCAAGCTGAGTAGTGCTATCAACAATACGGATGTAGGCCCTGAATAAGCCTCACGCTCACAACAATGACGTTTGGCGCGAAGCGTACAATCTTGGCGGTCAAATGTTTGTTCCAGGCCCGTATATGTTTGTATGAGTGTTTCACTCCATCGGCGGTAGCACACGTAGCTCTCAGATTACATCCTTTTCTCGCGGAAATTGTACGGACGATTAAAGACCATGATATATGATAACCAGCCGAAGCTCTCGCCCAACGCTGACTCGTACTCCCTCGCATTGAAACTTGCTCATCAGTTTTTGTTTAAGGCCCAAAAGCCGTGGTTGGTGGCATACAGTGAGCTGGATACGTCTGACTGCCCTCCTTCCCAAAGACCCCGGGGGCAGCCGCTCATCTTTGTTCCGGCGGATACAGATGGTGATCTGATCACATCCAAGGTGATTGCCTGCGAAATGTTTCTCCTAGGTAGTACATATATTTTTAGTGTATTGTCTCTCGTCTCGGTACCCGCTCCGGTCCGTGGTGTAGCTTCGGTCCTCGAGTCCAGTAATGCAAACAACTAGGTAAGCGTTTCGTAGCTGTGTTTTTTGGACTTTGTGGTTCACACGCGTGCTGTCATGAAGACTAAACTACGGGTAAACCCCTGTTGTGACGTGGTTGCACCAAAAGCACGGAAGAATCACCCCCTAGACAACGTTCTGTTAGGAACGGCGGTACTTTGGTTTTTTACCTTCAGTTGTTGCGATGCGAACTTATGCAAACTTGAGCCCGACTGTCTAGTGTGTCACCTGCTTCATAAGTAACACGAACAACTTTTGGTCGGCCTGCCAAGAAATGTCAAAGCACTTGCTTGAGCCTTTGACATTCAGCTTTCATTCAGTTCACTTTTTTGGGGGGGGGTATCCATCTTCGTTGGTATTGATAAATAGAGACCGGTGTTTGAGCGTGAAAATGATGTTTAACGTCATTTTCGCAGGGGATAAGGCTGTTCGCAACCACGTGTCAGGTAATCTGACAAGAGTATCTTTCGTTGCCGGTAGACGTATGGACACCTACCCGTTGTAAGGATGGTCAAGACGAGTGTCGGTACCCCCCCCGAGAACCTCTGCATTGTTTTGCTTGACCTGACTACTCATACTCAACGTTTCGTTGTGTTGTTCTTGTCAGGGAATTTCTCTTGGAGGTCTGAAGGTACTACTTAGCGTGTACACGAAAGAGAGGGGACGACCTGGTAAAGAGGGCCTGGTTTTCGAGATTTACAATCAAGAGACTTCCGCCACGGCCACGTTGCATGTCTCATCACAGCACCTTCTTCATCAGGCAAGTGCTAACGTTGATGCAGCTCTGAAAGGTGTTGAGCAGGGTACCTCACATCCAATCGTTCTTATGGTCAGTTCCTATGGTCAATGTGGACGCATGGCAAGAACAAGTTGCAATGTCATAAAGGGATAGCGAGTGAGATAAAGTGCGTTTCATTGCCTGAAATCGATTAAAATGTTAGGTATCAACGAATATGTTGGGAACACATGGTGACCGTCGTCGTGCTACACACTCCTGTAATGAATGACCTCAGGTAGACGACAAAGTGCATTTGCTGGAAGACGGTCGGCTACTTGGAACAATCTTCCTCTTGACCAAACGTCTACTCCTTAAGAAGTCGGCCGCTGGAGGGTGGGATCTCTTCCTGGACAGGAAACTGGAGTCTTGCCTGTTCATGGGCATGTGACGCAAGGGAATTTGTGAGGATGGAAGCCGAATGCTCCCAAGATACCTAACTCTTTCGGGACCTAAGGTGTTGGGTGGTGCCGAGGCGCACTGCTAGTGTCTACCTCCAATGACGGAGCGCTGGAGATGTTAGCGGAGCGGATAGGTTAATAATCCGTTTAAACGGGTTTTTATCTGCCGGTTGGTGTGGCGTCGACTTTGCATGTAAAATATTTGTGGGGATAGATGTTGGGAGTGGACCATGTGGTGCCCAAATGTCCTTTGAGACCTACCTAGCGAATCGTCGTTCACTGTGTCGTCATTTTTTTGTTTTCGACAACCCCGGCCGTCCGCTGTTTTTCCCAACCCTGGCTTTTTGAGGATCGTGTGCTCCCATCTATGTACATACATGGAGGGCGAGCGAGGCATCAAGCCCGCTGAGCGTCTGTTTCGCGCCTGAAAGAAGGACGATCGTACGTTTATCATGCTTCAGCAGTGAATAGCGAGGGACCTGTCCTCGTTCCTTCGACTGTCCCCCATGTAGAAGCAACAGCTTTTCCGCTTGTGTGTGGGATTGATAAGCATTACAGGCAGTCGAGACGTTCTTTGCACGATGTGCTGACCAATTTATAGATAAAACTGCAAGTCAGCAGCAGAAATGTGCTTTTAGGCGAAAATGCCGGTTTCAATTCTGAATTCTCCTGTAGGCCCCAGTAAAAGCACAAACGTTCAATACACCCAGGGAACGCTAACAGGAGATGAACCCATCGGGCGCGCGCGCCCAGTTGACAGTCAGCCATATACGAACGAGATAGGGAGGGTTCATGAGCCGCGGGTGACGATTCAAGAACTTTCCAGTGTAGTCTGTATGCGAAGCTATGCGATGCTTAAAAGATTGATTGACACAAGTCCAAACTTGAAGACTGTGCGGGAGAGATCAAGAGAAAGCAGCCAAGGAGGAGCCCCGCCCGCAGTAGAGCATGATTGGTAGTGTACACGTGGCGCAGTCCTTTGGCCGACGGACTCGACGGGATGACCTCGCGGCGAGAAGCAGTGCTCGTGTACCACATGTTTTTGCGGGTAAATTCTTCACATTCGGTCAATTTGGCGTTGGTTCTGGCGGTCGATTCCTCTTCAGCGTCTTCTCGCCGTTCCACAGCAGCCGCGTTCTCGCCCAGTTCCCGGCCGTTAGGCCGTGCGAGAAACAGTGCGTTAATCCTTCAATTTTTCATCAAGAAACTTCTTGATTCTTCACACGTCACCCTCCGCACTATGTTGTCTTAGAAGACCGTTCTGTTCTATGATTTGCAACTTGCCTTGCTCTTGCTGCCATTGCTCCCGAATCCTCCAGGGTGTGCTACGTGCATATCTCAAAGTAGAGCCCCATCTCACAGAAACACACATGTAAATGTCTGATCACGTTCAATCGGAAGGCCCGAACCATGCATTTTTTGGTGTCGAACCACTGGGGGTCAAGAAATTACTATCGGCTGTGCTTCGCTGCTTTACAGAAGATTGAGTTTGATTGGTGAGGTCACAATTTTTTGTATGTCGGTGATCGGCCGCCTCACAAAACACGAGCATGCAGAAGGCACTTGCGACCAAAATTGCTCCGATCTCGATCAATTTGCGCGTAAACGTGCCTATTCGCCAAATAATGAAAGCTTGGTAAATCTACAAATGTAAATGATAACTTTGACGCAGGATTGCGCCTAGGTAGCCTGCCAAGGAGAGGGTGCTGCCACCTTCACGCGGGATAACGGTCCATCGCAATTCGACGTCTGCCATTGTTAATATGCGTGAGTGCCTGCATGTTGATGACCTCTTTTTTCTCCTCGGAACACATACGTCCGATCCATCCCAGTTTTCCTCCAAGTAATGTGCATGAACATTCATGTTTTGGGTGCATTTAACAACTGTTACATGGCGGAGGACATAAAGGGAAGGAGATTTTCTCGTTCTCCGAGTCGACGGTAACGATCACGCGCGAGCACTTCAAGTGTCGCAACCCAACGTCGGGAGCTATTTTCAGTTAGACATCGAGATTAGGTTTTGAGGCCAAACAATGTCTAGGTCGTTTGCCGAACAGATTAGATCCAGTGCTAAACAACCAATCAACCCCCTGAAACTGGTCGCTTACGTCACTAACCCTCTTCAAAATACACCTACATTTGTCAACAATACCACGGCGTACCAAGCACACTACACACAACACACACAACCACCGGACCACCAGCAAAGGATCATGTGCACTAGTCTGGCGGATCGGACGCACTAGCATAACCCACCAGTTGGAGGAGCAGCGCATTAATTTGTATGGCCCACAGTAGCAGCAGAGTCGGAACATAAAAAAACATATGAGAGCGGAAAGCAATGGACCGAAAAAAACTTCTAGCCAAAAGAGGCGGTTCTTGGGCGTTCTTTGTGTCCGTTCTGCCACCGCCCACTAGCTGCCATAGGTGATCCTCAGAACACGCGCTGCTAGCCCTGCTCACACTGATTCTTGGAAGGTCTCAAGTTTGCTCGCCCTCGATGAAATAGGCCTCAATAATAATAATTGCACGAGCGTGTTCGCGGAAACGCCTTTAGCTAGAAATTTCTGCCAAGTTACACCCAATTCTGCTGCTGGACAACAATACGCTCAAGCACAACTAATTCATCGAGGACAAGCAAAGTTGAGAGCTTCCGAGAATCAGTGTGAGCAGGGCTAGCGGCACGTGAGCAAAGGATTGCCTGTACCACCTTGTGAGCGGCGGGAGACGCATGGAACTAAGCTCAGATATGTGTGTTATTTTTCGGCATCAATATTTGGTCGATAGTCAAGAGGTATCATTTGCCCCCATTTTGAAGCACCGAATGCGGACAGCGAATCGCCGCGGCGGCCTTTTTGAGTCTCCGAGCTTGGGCTTCGCATTCTAAAAGTACAAAGCACAGTAGCGTTGTCCAATCGTGCTTCCGGTGCGGGAATTGTTGAAAAACGAATTGATGAAAAAAACTTTCGCGCATGATCTTTTTGGGTGGCCATCGCTAGAAACTTTGCCCATGAGAGCCTAAAGGGGACCAGCTGCTCCTCAACGGCACCCAACCCTTTGGATCGGAGTGCGGTTTTATGTGTTGCGTGCGCACAAGCCAAAAAGGTACGAATCACCAGGAACACATTTTCGAGTTTTTGGGAGCAAAAGCGAGAAATGGACAGCAATACTCGAAAAACAAAATGTTCTCGGCCTTCGAGTGTGTGTGTGTGTTTGTCCCATGTATTGTTGCGCCGGTTGACAGGCCTTTCCGCGCATATTCTGACGTATCAGCCGGGAGTCACACAAGAGGAAGGTTACACGGGGAGCTTCTTCGTTTTTATATTTGTTTTATAGCACCTTTCCCCTTGCGATGCTTGCCTTGGTTTTAGGGGAGAAACAATGTCTTCTTAGTTAATCAGATGCCTTAAACCGTGGCCAACTCTCTACCTCGAGTAGCGTGTAATATCGACATCTAACAGTGCACCCGAGGATGCAGGATCGCCCGACGAATCTCAAGAGTTGTCGAGAAAGGACTACGGGAACCTTAGTACGACTCAAGAGAACTTCGAGATCCCTTCGACCCTTGGGCGGTGTGACGCGGCTTTAGTGATGCTATCTATAGACCATTTCAGCTGCCTTAATCTCAGCTTCGACAAAGGCCAAAGGGATGGATGGATGTTAAACATGCAGCCGAAGGCCACCCGTTGCAAGGCGAGGAAGGATTAAAGATGTGCAAAATATATCATAGGGAATTTTTTCCATCCGTTACTCTTTTGGAGTATTTCGAGGAGCAAGTGGATGGATCACCCCCTTGTTGCAGCAGACCTTCGGGATTTATACGGAAATTCGGGTTCCTTTCATTCATGATGAAAATCGATGTACGGTGAGGTAGTGTCCAAAAACAAGGTTTTGGATTGGACCATTGTCCCTATCAATTTTTCTGGAAGTCACAGATAGCGTACCTGGGCTAACTACTCCTGGAAGAATTTGTACAAATTCAAACGGAAAATTGCGTTGTGACCATGGCATCTTTGGCTACAACACTCTATTTGAGCATCTTTACGAACCTGTGACGTCCAGAATATTTCATAGGGACAATGACTGGCCCACTCAATTTCCTTACCCAAAACCCTACTTCACCGTACATCCATTGTCATCATAAACGAAGAATAATCCGATTTATCGTTAACCCCGGGGGACCTTACTAGCTTGCTGCAGGACGATTCGACATCAACCGCAGTGACACGAAGAGTTACTCGAGCGGCTGCCCACAGGGCTTATCGATCACCCTTCAAAGTCACACCATATAAGACTTGGAGCCCTACTCGCAGAGCCCGACAGCCGGAGGAAGCTCAACGACCATCGCCGCGCGAGGAAGGAGTGTCGTACACGACACCGTCCGTCACGACATCATTAACGACATCGACGTCACCATCAGCGTCGACACAGACAAAAACCGACATCGGCCCCGGCATCAGCGTCGACACAGACACCGACACCGGCACCGATATATCGGCGCACCAGCGTCAGCAATGTTTTAATGCTAAAGGAAGAGCTGGAGCGGATGGAGCTTATCTTGCACAACCGCACTCAGCTGAGGGTGGCCCCAAGTGGAGGACCTCATGTTGAAGCCATCAGGGAAACGTTAGAGAAGGGCAAAGGAAGACAACGGAACGATGCACTGGACGACCAAATCATACTTTGGGAGGCACGTCGAGGTATGGTGCGTACCGTGGCACATGTCTATGCCGGGTGTACTGGTTCTGGCGCACGGCACTTTCGGGCACCTATACCTCGTACCACGATCATCATTGCGGACGAATACCACTGGACGACGCTCAAGAGGGGATATACGGGGCTACGTGTTGTCGTCCAGATGCTGTATGCACAAACGGCCGTGGAGTACACAACTCCGCAATTTGCCGGCGCGCTTCCACGCGCCCGTGGGAAGTGCTAGAGATGGATATCTTGGACATGTCGGTAATTTCTCACGGAGGCCACAGGTACTGCTGGTCGTCGTTGATCGAGCTACCAACTTCCTCTTTGCTTTCCAACTGCCGCCTATGAAGGAGACTCATCCTCACCTTCGGTCTACCTCTGTCAATCCGCTGTTGCCTAGAAAGGGACAATTACGTCGACCGTCATGGATCACGGACTGTGCCGCTGGTTCCTTCCGAACACCGAATCAGCGTACCAGCTGCTTGTTGGATGACCATCACGCGCACCGTTGGACCAACTGTCGCCACGTTGGTCGACACTGGACCCTGCATTACCGTTAGAGCCAATGGTGGAGGAGACACGGCGCAAGAGTGTCCAA